CACATTCAAGACGTTGTTTTTTGCCATTTACATTTAATGAATCAACAATACTTCTTGAATAGACTTTCTCCCTGCTACTTCCTCCTCTCCCTTGAGGTTGCGTACATAAGTGATGAAATGAGGAATTCCTGAATTGGGAGCATGGAAAAATGCGGGGAAGGACTAGGCAGCATACATAATTTGCGTCAGCGTACGGCGGCTTTTCAAGCGCACACCAGCGTCAGCGACTAGGAAAGCGACTAGGAGCATAGGTATCGATCTAGTGCACGCCTTTACAGCCATGGCACATCGTTGTCGGGGTTTCCCCCAACATGTGGGACATATTTGGTCGCTGGAAGAGGGGAAGGGGGCGTATATGGGCTGAGAAATTTTTTTTGGTAGTTGATTTTTCTTGTTTCTGGGACATTCTAAATGGAGGGAGGGGGTCGTATTTGGCTCGTTGTTGGGATAAGAGGGCTGGGGGGAGGGGGTGGTTGTATTTCCCTTCTGGGAGAAGGGTGTTGACTTTTCGTGGTTTTTCCTGCTTTATGTGTACTATATACATACCCCTCCCACCTCACCCCGCTCGACAGCTCGGTGAGGAGGAAACCGTACCATAACCCCTCAAAAAGGTGGTGGGGGGGGGGAAGTACGGACTTTCCCAAAATTGCAGAAGAACCAAAATTCCCAACTAATGATGTGCCCTGTGCACAGCACGTACTAGGAAAGCATGAATATCAATCTAACGAACGCCTCAGCGTACAGTAGCGTTTTCGCGGGCAGTTTATCTCTAAGTCAAATTGCCCGCGAAAACGCTGGCCCGCGGCGTTCGCTAGATCGATATCCATGCATTCCTAGTCGCTGACGTACGCTATATCGAAATCTATACTTTCATAGTCGCTGGCGCTGGCGCACGATCGAAACGCTGCCCTACGATGGCGCATGCTGACGCGAAGTATGAACGCAGGTTTAGATACGTATTAATCAGGACAGTCGGGGAATCGCCGATCCTGTCATTCGCCGGATTATCAAGCTGCCGCCCACCTATTTTCAAGATTTCCGGAATGGACCCATTGAACCAACCTCCTCCCTCTCATCCCCCCTCCACCCCACGAAGCCTCGTTATCCTACGTTTTTCCCTAGCCATGCTGCCATCAGCTTCTCTTACAACTAGTTTCCAGTTGATAAAATGGGTGGAGTGTTAAGTGAGTGCTCTACGAGATCCCGACTCTAGTTGCCCTCTGCATCGTCCGGAATCTGGCTCACGGATCCCTCCAAGTTTCAGATCTTCACCGGACTAATGCTTATGTAGGTAGGACCACAAAGCACTTCCCCCCACACCCAAAACCCAGAAATCTTTCGAGCAAACAGTAGTGGGTTACCTGACCCAGGAAAGTCAACAAGTAGTGTCCATTTGTGCCGCTTTGCTCTGATGGTGGTCTCAAAGCGATTGCGCGCCTGCTGCGGTCCTTTGAATTGCGTCACTAAAAACATTGAGAAGCTTCGTAATCTTCAGCGGAGTTTTTTGAATCGAGCCTTTTTTATTCCTTTATTTTTGTACTTAGGTATGTATGGGATCATCTCTAAACTTATGAACTATGATTACTTCAAGTTGAGAGCTGCCCTGAGAAGTTTCTGTGGGAATTTACCGTGTTTTTTTTGTAGGAATTGTATAGATCGTACTAAAAATCAATCTCCATTGCGTAATCAGACACTATTCTCTGCGAAAATATAGAAGTTACCTTGGGACAGCTGAAATAGGTCCATGAATCAAATGCTTCCAAAAAAATCGAACAATTTTCACGGAAAAGCCCCTAACGCAGTCATTGTCCCTCTCAACAGTTAACGCCAAATGTGTAAAACAGGAGCGAGAGGAGGGCAACATGTTCCAAGCCAAATTTATCGGTGATCCGTGAGTAACATTTTGACAGCAACAAATCGCTTTGGCGCGATTATCCGGGGAAATCATTTTAGAAGAAGTTCGTTGTAATCGGCAGGCATGTGAGAAACTCTAGTCACTTTTGTATTGAAATCACTGCACATCACTTTCAGTGTATTGCAAAGTGCCTTCAGTCCGCGATAATAGCGATAATATGGCGAAGTCTGAAGGCGCTCAAAGGCAGAAGAGATAAAGGCAAGATATCGGCAGATATTCAGTCTAGGAACCCTATCACTTAATTTTTGTCCGCTCTCCCGGTCCATGGAGCAGGAGCAACACTTTAAACAAACATTTTATTGCGACTTTCACAAAAAAAATTAGTTTTATGGTCCATAAAAGTAAAGCTCTTACGGAGCTACAGAATAGTATGGACTCAATTTACCTACCACTTGTTTTCCCTATGCTACAAGGTACTGCGAGAAGTTACAAAGCCAGGGGTAAGAGGATTCTTGTTTAAGTCCAGAGGGAACGACCTCTGAGATGTGCGGATCAGTTTGTGCAAGGCGTAGTCTGAAAACAAAAATTCATAACATTTAGGAGCTTTACCTGAGTTTATATAAGCCTAAAATGCTTTTGAAGCCGAACTGCTAAGAAACTATTTTCTAGGCATGCAAGATTAGTGCTATTTTATGTGATGAGGCACTGAGTTTTTCGAAGTTAGGGTAATCTGACAGATATTAGCCGCAGATTATAATATTCGAGATGATGCTTACATCGAATCGCGGGTGGGTTGCGTTCATACATTGCGAACGCTGGAGAATCGAATAAAAGGATCTGTGCAAAGTATAGGTCTCTATCCATCGAGCTGTGGTTCTCCAGTCGGAAAATCAAACGACAGCGTTTTTATTTTTTTTCGCGGGTCCTCCGATTCCCCAGTGTTGTGAGGGGTGCTGTTTGGCCTTGCGAGTTCCTCATTGGTTAGTTTCTTTCGCTATTCCGGTTAGCTCACAAATTGTTACCTTCTTCTACTGTTCCGGTCGGCTTATAAGTCTCCTCTTTGTAGGACCTGTACAGAGTAAGCGAAGATCGGGCTATTACATAACTCCAGAGCGCGTTCTTACTTCGCAATACGATCGCTCGGAACGCGCGAACCTAGCGATTGGGACGCTAGGATAGTGCGATGTGAACGATCGGATCGCGACGTATAACACACTTCTTACAGGAGTTCACATATTTCCACAGGAGGCATCAGCTCCACGCGAACTAGCAGTATACCCCCACCACGCCAAACAGCGCCTCGTGAAGTATGAACGTAGCCTTTGAAAATCTTGAAATTCGTTCAACACTAACTTTCATGGCAAGTATATTAAGTAATGTACCTCAGAGGATGCATGCTCGATTTTTAAGGTTTCGTGGATGAGACTGGTTCATATATTACTTGCCATTATTTCCTTAAAAATACGATTTCCAGATGAAGTCTGTCGCTGTGCTTCGGTCTGTCTCACGACTTGCGGGAAAAGCGGTGAGGATGAATTTTGCTTGCCACGTTCCAGTTCGTGCCATATCAACATCGCAAAGGGGTAGGCATCGATATCTGGTTCTTTATCTTTCCAATCTCGTGTTATTAATCGACAGTTCTCCCTCAGAAAAGTCCTGTGATTCTATTCCAGCCTTTAATGTGGCTCCAGAACTAGCTCAAGCACTGACCAGAGAGATCGAAGCTGAGCAACAGTTATCACAGGAGAATCTTGGTGGGTCCGCTGCACCATCATTCCACGGCTTCAAGCTTACAACTAAAGAAGCCGAGGTGCGTCTAACCAAGCAGCATGGGAACGAAAGGTTAGTGTCTTCAGCATTATTGGTTTAGCTGCAGTCCTTCGCATGCAATGCAAAGCGGTTTCAAAATTCTATTTGTGGAACCATTTTTTAGTATCCTTGTCGTCTTCAACGTCAACCACTCTGTGGATATGGATGAAGGATTCGATGACGAAGCCCAGCCCGAGGTTAGTTTTGCGTCGATAAATGTAATTTTTAGCGATGTGACGACCGCCATTGTAAAGATGTAGTCCACAACTCGTAAAAATTTGTAACTAACGGTTTGAGTTGAAGCCCTAAACTTTTGCAACGCGCTCTACAGAAAACTTTGGTAGTAATTACGGCCGGAACAGGTCAATTCCGTCTTCTCTTTGCCTAAACTTCCCAACAGGACACGTTTGGATCCCCAGTGGAGGAAGGGTCTTATTTGCCTTTTGGAATATGTGTTCGGTTGTTGTTTTGATCCTTTTCCTCTTTCATGCGCGCTATGAACCCTTTCCCCCATACCGCTCGACTTTTTCGATCAGAAGCTGGGGAACCACAAAAAAAAACTCCAGAAAAGGTAGGAAGTTGGCAGGATTCAGGAAGATAGAAAGTAGGAAGAGGGGAGGAGGGAAGGGGGGTCGTACCGAGGAGAACTTTGGGCGGGGTGTTGCATTTTGCAAGATTTCCCTCCAACGCAGGACATAGCCTGCTTCCTAACGAAAAGCATGTAAGATTTGGCTATAATACGTTTTTTTGGTAAGTGATACAATGGTTTAGCGATCAGCTTCGATCTTACATCATCTCGAACGTTACCTATGGTTCTCTCTTCATCATTTCGCCCTAAAAGAACATAGTCTTTGCCGATGATCGTTTTTTTTTGGATGCGGCACGCATCCTACTCCCATGAAGAATCGTAGTGGTTTATTGAGTGCGATGTGGCCTATATAATGATTTGTCGGAGCCCGCTGCATGTACAACTCAGTGTTCCTATCCTCTCAGAAGAATCTGGCATTTTTGGGTCTGGGCCATATTCAGACCATCTGAAAGCTAGTGTGAATATAATACAGCGCATAGAATATTCTGGTTACTGCATACGGAACAAGATTCGAAATAATGGAACTCAGAGGTCATGTATATATACTTCCTTGCAAGGGTGCTTTCTTCCGCTAAGGTGTTCTTGGCAAAGGTATGCCTCCAACAGTTTCTTCAGTTGCTGTTTATCGGGAAGCTTCGTGGCGACAGTAACAGCAACACACAAGAGCCCCTCCAGCTTTGTTACCTGCCGTTTTATGCACATATCCACACAATATTTTGCGAGCTAGTGAAATTGATGAGCGAATTGGATGCTAGCACAAAAGTTCTCATGAAAATGTATGACAGTGGATTTTCTACAAGCTTGCTATGAAGTAGTTTGACAAAATCACAAAAATGTACAATAAGAATGGATATGGTTGACCCTTGTGTTGACTACATGCTGTTCCTAAGTTGATTTCCAATTGCATTCATGCTTCAGGCTGCCCCAGTGCCTGTTGCACTGCCTCCATTCACTGTCGAGATCACAAAGGGAGGCGAACGTCTTTGCTTCCATTTGGAACTGGTTGAAAGCGTAGATGTCCAGGGAGAATGTAAGTACAGTAAGAATACAACGTTATAGACATGGATGTTGACGATTTCCAAGATCAGTCCGAATTCCTTGTGTCAGGGGTAGTTTTTGAGATATGATTTTCTCTTTAGATGATTTCCGTGTGTACGAGGAGTTTACCGTGCGCCGCGCCAGCAGCTGTCAAAGACCGGCAATGAATGATGTCGCCTCGCGCGGAAGTTTATGCCAGCAGTGAAAATATATGACCCTGTGTGTGTTGAGTTTCTATTATTTTTGGAACTTAAAAAAAATCAATTGTGATAGTTTCATGGACAATTCGATTTAGCCATACATTGATGCAAGAGGCGATGGGGGGCGCTAGTTGCAGTTTGAGGGGCACTTGAGGGCATTTGGTTGACTATGTGCAATACCAGAATTATCATTGTGTATATAAGAACTTCCACCCAAGCCTAAAAAGGAAGGAGTTGAGGAATAATAATCGATTCAACTAGTGTGGGGGTGATTCTATTTTTATGCCCTTCTGATCCCAAGTTTGGAGAGTACGCGTCCTCCAGATGCCGCCTCCCTCCAGGTATGAGAGCCGGAACTTAGTTTTAACATTCTTTCTATGATTCAGGCAGTTTTAGCGTCTGAAACCACAGTCATGAACGTCAGCACGCATTCATACTTCCATCGCGTGATACTTTTGTTATTATTACTATTCCATCGCGCGATTAAAGCGATCAGGTCGCGAAGTGTGAACGAGCTCTCAGCTTTCGCCTTTATTTGTGTAAGCGCATTTATGGAATGAGGAGATAGCAACAGGAAGGGTTGAAGATCTTTCCCAAGTGTTCAGTAGTTTCTGATTGTTGCGATTTTACATGTTTGTGGATGGCATATGAATAATTTGCCCGCGTGTGGGAGCTCACAAATTGAGATTGTCGTTGTTCTGGGAAGAGTTGTCGCCAGTTTAGCACATTGTAATACTGTATACTTAGCTTATCAGGATTTGCACATCTCCTCTTTCGTCCGCCTATTGGAACGAGCGCGATTACGGCAGTTCCTGCAAGACCTTGGTTGCCTACCTACAAAAAACATTATGAGCACTCCCAATACGTAGGTCTGCTTAATAAGATCAAAGCGTTTGTATCAAAATAATTCTGAATCTGCATATTCCCACCGCTTTTCTATATGTGAACCTTGTAGTTAGGCGTGTAGTAGACAGTTCTTATATTTGTTAGGTTTTCTCAATGCAATTACACATTGTTAATTGTTACTATCGTTATACTATTTGAGCGAGGTTTTTGTTGAAAATGATAAAATCTGGAAGAGAATTGAGTTTACTATGTAGATTATTATTTTGTAAAAGAAAGAGGTTCCGTTAAAAAACTTGAAAATTAGCGACTCTTCACCCAAGCATTTTCAATGTCTGGCTTGAATTTGAAGAACATGTAGTGCAAGGAGTTGAACTCGATTAAGAAGCCAGCATAGCATTTCGAAAGTCTTCTATATACTTGTTAACTCGTTCTTTGTACTTAGGGCATTTAATCTGAAATGGGTGGGGTTCAATGCTTGAAATTTTTCGGGATAGCTAAAATAGCGACTGACCTTTATGTAATCGAGTACGCTGAGTATAACGAATACATACTGTCCTTCTAATTGAATACACGATGCTCGCTGATTTCGTAACTTTTTGAAAGGTCCACCAGCTGAAATGAAATTGATTCGTCTCCCCCACTCCAGGGAATCCTTGGTCGCTTTCTGAGAACGAGAACTGTACAAATCACTTTCGTGGCTCCCGGCGTCTTGCCATGTGGACGGAGATGCCGCCAGCTGCAACAGCAATGCCCTTTTTTCCGCAAAAAATTGCGCATGGGAAACGGGCGGAGGGTAGTGCAGGCTAATGCCTTTGGACTCCAAACTTCGGCAGGAGACTCATTTTCAAAATTGCCTAAGTTACCAAATCCACTAAAAACTTGTATATAGGGGTAATTCAACATCCTGATTACGAGTATGACACTCATTTTTGGCGCTGGCGCCAAGAGAGGACACTACGACTACCTCCTGGGCTCGGCCTTATCAGAGCGCAGATAACCGTAGTGTCATCCATTAGCGCCAGCGCCAAAAATGAATGTCATATTCGTATCAGATGTTAATTACCCCTCCTACAGACAAGTTTTTAAGCGAATTTGGTGATTGCCACTTTTAAATCGAGCTCGGTGCCGAAGTTGTTGGAGTCCAAACGGCATTAGCCGTAGTGGCACCTCGGTAGCTCCGGGGTAGGGTTGCCGCACGGGGCGCGACCCGCCCCACCACGCAGGCAGGGTACAGTACCCCACCGCCAGAAATGAGGGCTTACGTAGAACACCCGCTGTGCGCCGCCACGACAATCCCACGCGCCAACTTCCGGGTCAGTTACGCAGCCTGAGCAACCTGAAACCCTATAATTATATCTGGCTCCATACACCTCCCCCCGCGCCGGCCAGCAGGCTTGGGCAGGCCAATCGCGCTACCTGTCTAGGCCCTCTCCTCCTTATTGTAGTCTGTAGCTGAGTACGTGCTTCACTGCGGGACCTTGGTATCGGTGCGAGCGCTGCGGCTGGAAGGTAGCACGGGCGGAGTGTGGAGACTGCACTGGGGTACCACTACCATACAGCTCCATTCCCCGTGCTTTTTTTTGAGCGGAGCAAGTGGCACGCTACTGCGGCTGCGGACCCATCCGCCTCGCTCATGGAACGGACCGTCCTCGGAGGTAAGTGTACAGTTCGCCTTTGGGTGTCGTCAGAATTGTGGGCCAAATCAAGACGTGGTTGAGATATGTTCATATTGGTCAGCTGGTCGAGCAACTCTACGTCTTTGGCAAAGCGCTCTGACCCCGTGCTCAGAACTATGCTAGTTTTTGTTGACACTTTTGATGTGCACGACTGAGAGCTGGGAATCCAGTGCACTTGGCGTACTCACATCAACATCTTTGCGACTGAATAATCGTCTGAGAATGACATCGATCAGAATGATGGTGCCGGTTCGGCCAATTCCAGCGGAACAATGCATCACGATGGGACCATTGTCCAATTTATCGCCCTGAAATTGATTTCATTCTCTTATTAACCAATCTTGTTCACAGCGCACGCTGAGGCGTGTCAGAGGGGGAGGTTCGGCGCTCCGCCAGCCCGTTCTCCACTAGTTGCTGAAGCGGGTAAGCGACAATAAGTAGTGGAAAACGACCCATGCGAACTATATGATAGTCTTTCCGATTGCTGAAAAAGTTGAGGTTGGTACCCCGTCGAAACCATCCCCCCCCCTTGACATCCCTGGCATCCGCAGCGAACAACACTGGAGTGAGGTTAGCCGTGAACTTGCGTAGCTCCTCAAGAACTCACGCTGACTTGACGGATCACTCGCAAGACGTGCCGTCCACTCATCGGGAGGCCGCGGTCTGGCCAACTGGTCATGTGCACCACCTGAAGTTTTATATGGATTTGATTTTATTGGAAGCTGTCATACATGACTACCCTATGTGAATAATCCTGAAGTGAGCGAGGAGAGGGATTGGGGGGGGAGGTGTAGTACAGGTCTGTTACATTGCACTGAAGGGATCAGGGAGTATAGCACAGGTCCGCAACCAGTTGATGGTTACCGAATGATATCTCACAGCAATATTCGCAGTGCCTACGTCAATGGGGCCAATTACGGTAAAGCGCATATACCTTCACTATATTCGAATTTGAACAACCTTCTGGTAGGACTTCTACTGTGTAAACCAAGAATTTCCCCTCTGATTCGACCTGAAGAAGAAAATTCAACTCTTATTTATGACGCAGTATTTGTTTCCTTACTTCTTAGTACTACCTTTTTTGTATTCACGAACATTTTGCCAAATGTGTGATACTTCCCCGTTTCCATGGGCCAATATTGAGAACATTTCACTTTGCCATCTTCCAGAAACTGGAATCGGTAATTATAAAAGAAAGAACGAATAGGGGGGATGGAAGTGGGTCATTCTTTTTCCAGGAATTCGCTTCCATTTTGTGCTCAAAGTCACAAAACTGTTATAGCTCTCGCTGCGGACGTTTGTGGCAACGTGAGCGGCAGCTGGTGCTGGCGCCCCAACCCATTTCCGTATTACTGCCCTGAAGTGTGCAGGCGAACAAGAGATTTGGTGTGTAAAATTGGTTCCCCCTGACACACCCAGCGAAGACGACCTATGAATGCGTATTTGTCCTTTACAATGGCTCACCGGGAGCAACTTATTTTAATGGCCCTCCTGAACGGACACTTTCAAGTATAACTATAATCCAATCCAAAATGATGCTACGAACTCGCGCGATGATTCTGCAGAAGTGGTGATGGCTCTTTCTCACGTCACAAGGCATCTGGTGGCCATTGAAAAAGTGGGCCCAGGTGTAGGCTGGAAATCCACTTTGGGGGGACGCGGGCTCACTGTGAGGTTCCAGGGGGGTGTTGCGTACGCTGCATACGCACCAAACGCAAGTAGATATCAACTAACTAATTTACTGACTAGTTCATGGACATCGCCACAAAGTGAATTCCCTGTACGCGCAACGCTAAGCGCTGAAGCGTTGCTACTTTAAATGCGCGATGTGGGGACTCTGGATTCCGGTGCAGAAGTGTCTGGCGATAGTTACTTTTGTAGGACGCCCTTACATACTCACGAATGCAGTAGACTACATAATAATTGACGCACTTAATGGCGGGACCGCATTCAAAAAATGTCTTTGTGCGGCCTGATTTAAGCGTGGCGCCCTCCGCCTTGCCCATACTTATTGCAGTAAATGCGACTCATAGTGAAAGACGGATAGTATTACCTTTGTAAGGTTCACTATATGTGGACAACCTTCTTGAAAGACCATACGCCAAAAATCCTTCGATTGTATTATTATCTAGTGGGGCCTTAAATGCGGTACCGATTCCTTTCTTGTGGTGACGAATGCAAAGTAATTTAGTATATAGGTAATCCACTTCTACAAACCTGAGTAGCTATAAATACTTTGTCGTGACCTTCGAATCTGATCCAATTGGCATGAATGTAATCGGTAGCAGGTGGCACGTTTAATCTCAAATGAACCCTCGTATCATCCAAGCACACGACATCCTGTAATAGTGTTGTAAAAATTCCGAGTTTGAAGGGGGGTGGACGCATGTTTGCAGCGCACAAACCTTTGAACCTTGAGCCAGCCCTTTTGAAGCGAAAGCGACAAAACTGTATCTTATGGTATCACTCGCTTTCCACCAGTTATTCTCGCTCAGCACCTGTGGACCACGGTCCGACGACGCACCAAATCCATCCTCATTAACACGCCCTTCCATCCGCAGTAAACGAGGCTCTGTCACTCCTCCACTCGAAACAACGTTGCAAGGGTGCTACGAGCTTGGTGCATGGTCTCCGCCCATGCCAGAGAGAACACACACCACAAACGTAACTACTGCTTTGTAGTCATCGCCCGCGCGGTTTCTCTCTAACCCTTTCTTTTCTTCCAGTGCGCAAAATCAACTGCTTTAAAGAGGGCCTCATTTTCTGCATTTTCCATGAATTGAACAGTTTTGTTTTGCCTCATAAGTAGCTTAGCACAGCCCTTTGAGAAGCCTAATGTAAAGGTTGCAAATGAGGGCTCTGAATATAACCTCGTCATCCGGGCAGTTGATTAGGGCGGTCGTCAACGGGCCGCAGCGCGTGCCAGGAACTATTTGCTTTTTCCAGGCTAATTTAGTCATTTTTTCCACCTTGTGAAGATAAGGAGCTGCTAATCTGGAAAAAGTAGCCAAAACAGTGAAAAGTTGGAAAAAATGACTAAATTAGCCTGGAAAAAGCAAATAGTTCCTGGCACGCGCTGCGGCCCGTTGACGACCGCCCTAATCAACTGCCCGGATGACGAGGGTACATTGTGGCGCATCCTTGCTGGATCTCCTACGTCTCCTAAATAGCAGGCTACAACGCCGACGCAGAAACGCGCAGGATTGGTCCCTCCTAAGGCACATACTCCTCAGGTGAGAAAGCAGCATAATGTATTGAGTCTTTCTCTTACCATATATCTGTTCTTATCCGGATGCGCTGCAAACGCTCGAAATCTATACTTGTCGGCTGGTGGTCGATAAGTCATGAGTTCATCTCTGAACTGTTTTCGAAGACCTTCTACTCCTTAACATTGACTATGTTTAGCACATAACTCAGATTCCAATCGTGGATCGTACCTAACGTAGTGAACGTATCGACGAATAGATCGAGTTGCTTCTCCATCTCGGGGCTCACCTGCGGTCCCGCTCGCCTGCACGTTGTTGCTGCCTAAACCTCGACCTTTGCCAACCGACTTTCCTCTTCAAAGCGAAATCGCGTTCAAAACCTCTTGCACTCCTCAACGTTTCCATCCTATTTAAAATGTGCTGCAAGGGCGCTATATACCTCCAGAGGGGTCAGCCTGCATTGTTGCGGCAACGCTGTAGAAGCCTGCAAGTTTCAAAGGGAAGGGAACCACGAGGAGGGTGAGCCACTATCGTTTTTGGAAAGCTGAGTTCTCAAAGTGGCTCATCCACTCCGAAGCACCCTCCACCTCTGAAACCTGCAGATTACAATAAGCTGATGCAATGGCAGATTGGTCCATCCCAAGCACATAGCGCCCTGCGTGGATTGGACAGGGCGACCGTACGGTGAAGACAAACTGCCCATCCACCTCTGTGGGTACTAATTCTTACCCGTGCGAAGGCGTAGGGAATCACAGCTGTAGTGGCTTCCCACTTTCTGGCTCACGGAATTGGGCTAAAGGGTACGGAGCCCCCATGCCGTATCCATACTCCGCCCACGCTGCCGCAATGTCAGCCACTCGCCTAACAATTGCCAAACGCGCACTTGTCTGCGCCCTCTCACTCCTGGTTCTCTACTGTGAACCGTGTTTGGCTGCGGAACCTTGGTACCGACACAAGTGTTGCACCTGGAGGACAGTGGGTGTGGAATTTGGAAAAAGCACTCGAGTGTCACTATCCCCCAGACCCTTTCCCGTGCGCTTTCGTAGGGAGGAAGGTGACACCCTCTGCAGGACCATTCACCTTGCGAACGAAAAAGGCCATTTGGGGGCATTTCCCACGGATAGCCAGGTTGAACGATTCCTTCAGTACCTCGTGAGAAGCAATGAGAGCCTTCAAGCGTCTCTCAATACCTCCTAGACCTTACAAACTCTTTTCTTCACTTGCAGTTGATTAGCTTTGCTTTCATATTTGACTCCACCTGCTACTCCACCCTGCTGACGTGAAATATGCCCTCTACGCTCGCCTGTGAAGCTTATCTTATTCATGGGAGAATGTAGCGGCTTCACCAGGGTATCAGTCAGGAACGGTATCACTTTCGCCACTTTAAAGTGCCAGTGTAGCTGGACGGTTGGAAAACTAGATGTCTTTCTAAAAAAATCTTCGCCTTATTCGCACATGCCGCATGCACGCGATGTTGAAAACGCTTGTGTGACATCTTGAACTTTTGTTCATCGTCCTGTTACGAAACCCTGTAAGGCAGCGTTTAGACTTCGCGACGGCCGCGCTTTGACACGATCGATACAGTCGAAAGCATGAGTATCTATCGCGTCTAAAACGCGACCTAAGCTCTGCCGCTGTGAAGTCTGAACGATGCCTAAGAGTTTACCACTGACCCTGATAGGGGGACAGCGGCTGCCAAAGCATCGAAACGTACAAGAAACATATGGCGAGCCAGGAAACGGGATTTTTCAAGGGGAGGGGACTCCGGGGTGGGTGAGCTACTTATAGTCGGTGAAAAGCTGGAATGTGCGAAGTCACAACGGCCATAGAGTGCCATGCGGACGAGAGAGTGAAGAGAAAAAGAGAAGATCGACGCCTCAAAAGGGATTGAGTTCAAGTTGTCCATAAACTGTTGAAAACACGATCGCTTTGAGGCCTGCGGCAAGGAAGATCTCGCAGTGAATCTAATGACACGCTGTCCAAGAAGGCACCAAGAGTTGTAGAGAACAATGGCGTCACGGTCGAGCTTGATAAAAAGCGTGTCTGCCTATGGTGGTCGTACAAGCTGGTCGTGTTGCGTGTTGCGTGTCCGTAGTGTACCTTTTTTTGCAGGCGGGACAAGAAAGATTGGAAAAATTCCAGCATAGTTTAACGCATCTCTAGTAGAGTCGAGCACATCCAGTTCGTCGAAAGTTCCTTAATCATTTAAAACTAACCTTCTTTTGAACAACTTGAACTGTTGGAAGTGCAGGAGCCTCTGGAGTGGCAGTAACTATGTCTGGCTCCTCGTATGTAGCATCCAAATTTCGACGACGTTGCCGGGCAGTACGAGCATGTTTGCATGTTTTAGCCGCCATGTTATACCTGCAATGAAGACACCTTCAGGTTCTGATGGAAGTTTCGGAAGCTTGAGGAACCCACCTAGCGTGAACGATTCATCCGACGTCGTTCAGTATTAAAATGAGCTCTATGAATGAGAAAAGGTCTCTTATAGTCCGATACGTGATAAAGCTTTATTTGTCTTTTGATAAGTACTTTATACTTTTTCACCCATCATTCCGCTACAAACTTTCAAGGTACTTAGCGAGCCCTTTCATGCTCCTGAATTCGATGCACACCTTTCACAGCCTTATTAGCTACGGAAGATGGGATGCGAAGTGGGTATATGACAAGACTATCGTGACAGCAGCGTCGGTGGGCGTGGCGAGCGACACAGCGCCCAACGGACGAGTTGTCGTGTCTGGCATTTTGACTTCGAGTGTGCAGGCAACTTTATAACGAGCGATATTGGAGAAATCCAATATCGCCCGTTATAAAGTCATGTCTCCGCTCAAATTCATACTAAGTTCGCTGCTTCAATCGACAAGCTGACGCACACCAAGGGTTCGCCGTCTACCGCCGCACGATATACCGCGCGCGACGACGCGATGAATCGCGATTGTCTTGGCCGTTGGATCCGCAGCACTAATTTTCACTCTGAACACTTTCAGTCCATCCGCTTTGAGACGTATGGAGAGAGCCGTAGCTACTGTAGTCGTAGCTCTCCGCTTTCCCCGATTCCAGGAGGTTGGTTGCTCTTGTTTATGCGTCCACTGGCGGACCAAATCCGCCCCATCATCCGCAACGGAGAACGGCAATCGCACGCCACCAGATACGTGCTCCACCAATTGCTGAGTCCGATAAAGGCCGCAGCGAACCAGGGTATAAGTTGTACTGTTTAGTCATCTACGTACTTACGAAATGACGTCAACTTAATAATATTTTCTTAATTTCGATTAGTTTAATTAATGAAAGTTTTGTACTATTTTTTACATATCCGGGTTCTCTACAAAGCAAGTTTCGCTATACAGGACTCAGCACACTGACACCTTTGCGCTGCTCGTTACTGGCTACCCACTCATTACGACCCCCTCTCCCAGCGGCCAAATACGATCCCCCTGTTGGGGAATCCCCAACAACTATGTGCCCTGGGCACTGCTTGCCAGAGTCCAGTCCTTCGCCACACCATCGCGCATAGCTCGGCACGCTGTGTGCGCGCCACCGGTGTTTTTCACCTCCCTGCCTGTGACCTCTTGCCATACAACCGTCGCGTTGTGCAGACACGGTCTTGAGATTCTGGCGCTGTAGAAGTGAAGAAAGTGTTCTATTCCTTTACTTCTACAGCGTCAACCATGTCTCTGTCAGTTTTAGTGTCACAACGAACAAAGGAAAACATATTTATTTCCTGTCTCGGTTAATTCCTACTGCACTTCTTGAAATGAGCTTATTATGAGTCACTTAAAGGCAGCGTCCGCGATCAACCAA